TCACTTCAATGTTCCCTTACACTCAAATTTCACTCACTCCCACGTTTTTGAGCTGGAACAAACAACCACACTCCTCATTTTCTCTCATTTCTCTCATTCCACTAGGTAACAAACACCACTTTTTCTCTCAAACTCTTCTACACAAATTTTCGAGATCCAAGGCTGATTTCAAGTGTTCTTCCACACTTAGTAAGTAAAAATTCATCCTCCCTATTATTATTTCACTTCATTCTACTCAAATCTTTGGTTGCTTACACAAACTCCCTAACTATGATGTTAGATTCTCGAAAACCTTCAAGGCATCTCCAAGTGTTCTTGAATTAAACACTTCCATTCTTCAACAATCATCTACTGAAATCACTTAAGGTGAGTTCATACCCCTACATTTTCATGTTTTCTCAAGTTTTCAGGGGGGGAATACAAGTTAAAACACTAAGAACATAACTAAATTTTTCTAACAGCCTTCATCAGAAAAGTTCAACTCCAGTCACGGACTGTTTTGGGCATCTTAAACATTTTTGTTGTCAAAACTGTACAAGGTGCAAATAGTTCAAGTTTTTAGCTTTAAAATGGCTACTTGCACATCTCCATACGATTTTTCTACAATTTATGGTGATTTTTACAAAACTGCCTATCATTTCAAACAACAATGCGGATCAGTCTGTGATTTTGGACTTTTTCACCCAAGTTGGAGGTCATTAAAATTTGTGATAAAAATTATGAGTAAACTAGACACATTTTGTGAACTCTCAGAATTTACGGATCTAGTTTTTGACTTCGTATGATTTTCTATGATTTTTCCAAAAACAGGGCAGAATGGCTAAAGTTAGCCAGCAGCATGTAAATATCATAACACTTTGTATTATGTTGAGCAAAGTGTATAATCATAAGTTCAAACATTTGAATGTGTTTCCATGTTAGTTTATCATTATGAACTGAAACTAAGACATTCATATTAAATATTATTCATTCATTTTAGAACACGTATTATTTAACTATAATAAGTATAGTTTGATAAATTCATAACACTAATACATTTCCATGAAAGAGATCATACATATTACATACATTTTAGATAAACTATAATAAAGTATAGTTTATGATACATCACTCAACGCACTCGTACAAAAAGGGTACATCCATACAAGAAAGATTTATATTCACACACATTTCACGTAAACTTGTTAACCTATGTTGTGAGACTCTCTCTCTCCCCGTACGTCCGAGTGCGGGATATAATTCCTGGTAGTTATAATCAGAATCTCCTTGAGGGAGAACGTGATACTTGTATATAGATCTATATTGGGTTTGACACCCCACACCTTGCTGCTAGCTACAGTGGGACCTGCAGGTCTACGGGTGACAAATGTCATTTCATTTTCGCGACGCCTGAGAAACGTGGTGGCAGGTTCACATAGTCACAGTATGATTATAGCGACTCACTTAGGGGGATAACAATTCATGAAGTTTACGGGGTTTCATAAAACCGAAGTAGGTTTTAGGTTGATAAAAGAAATTTACTTTCCATAACATTTTAAACTCACAACATTTCTCCTAAGAAACGATGATTTCTCATACATTCTAGTCTTTGGTTATAAGGCTACATTTTTCGGATTTCAAGGAAAATATCGGATTTTTCTGAAACAAACGCGACATTTACATGTGAAATACTTCTACTAAGTTTATTAATAAAAGCTTATGAACTCACCAACCTTTGTGTTGACACTTTTCAAACAACTTGTATTCACAGGAAAACACTAATCAGGTTATCAAGTGCTTTTGAGGATGGGACGTTAAGGCGTCAAATTTTTCATATTTTGACAACATATTGTAATTGATTTTGAAACATGTAATTCATACAAGTGATGTAACTTTTTCAATTATATATATGTTGGTTGTGTTTGCTTAAATTACTATTAAAATTGTGGTTATGATGCTATACATGAAGTCCTCCACACCCGGACGTTTCCGCCATCCTCGGTTTGGGGGTGTGACAGATTGGTATCAGAGCACGGTTTATAGTGAATTAAGTATGTCAACCACATAAGATGTACAAACTATAAACACATTTGGGACTAAAAGTCTCTGATTCTTAAAGTGATTTAAAGAGTTGTACTTTTAGAAAACAAATAATTTCTTGTTTTAAAGTATACTTGCATGCATTCTATACTAGCATGGTGTCATAACTTAGGAGAACATAAATTGAAAGAGGAGGAGTCGAACATTATTAATACGCCTTAGCATGTGTAATCAGTTCTGGGAAGGATATAGCCTGATCAACTATATCCGTCCAAGAAGTAACTTACGCACACTAAGGAATAGTCGTAATGAGCGACAAATCTGAAAACCTAATTACACTCCATAAAGAACACGCTAAGAACCAAATATAAACATTTAAAAATACTATAGGAGTATTTGTACGTTTCTATAGCGCCAAATTATTATTTTCCGATACGTACTTCTTAACCCCGTTTCTCGTGCAGACGACATGGCAGGATTTCACATACCCGGGGACCCCTACTTTCCCAATCAGGGAAACGCGGGATGGATCGAAGACGAGCCCGAGAGAATCCCGAAGAGGAACCCGAGGAGGATCCCGAGGAGGATCCCGAAGCGGATCCCGAAGAGGATCCCGGAGGATCCCGAAGAGGATCCCGAGGAGGAGCCCGAGGAGGAAGACGAACAAGAAGAAGAAGAGGAAGACGACCAAGAAGAAGAGGAACGACCAAGAAGAAGAGGAAGAAGAGGAAGAAGAGGAAGGTGATGAGGTAGTCATGGTTGGGAACGAAGCGGAGGAACCACCAGAAGTATTCAACCCTCCCTACATCGCGAGGGTACCCGCGCACCGTTTTGGTTACAACGGACCTGAACCCCCTTGGGTAACAACGATCGAAAGATGGAGCCGACAACAACGCCAACGGTCACCATATGGCTACCAACGAGGTTACTATGATCTCACTCATGGTGGACCGGCTGACAGGGCTCTCCCCGTCACGATACAACGAATGGCAAGAATGGATGATCGTGGTAGGACAACGACAGATCAGGTCCGGGAGTTAAGTGCCATTGTACAGTCTACTACGGATCGCACCAGAAACCTGGAACGAGACTCCCACCACCGAGACCAACTCATTCGAGACCTTCTCGCGGCTCAAGCAGAAACAAGAGAGTATCGGGAAAGATACATGGCACTCGAAGAGAGAATGGTTGCAGCCGAACGCAAATTGGCGGAACTACAGGGCGCATCGACATCATCGCAGCCTCCGTCAAAGAAGGGTCGCAGTGATTAGAACTCGTTGCTATTCTCCCGTCTTGGTAGTAGAATTTTATGAGTACGCGTTGGTGCTACTCCTTGTATGTAGGTCGACCCTGCGACTATGTGATTACACTATTCAAAGGGCTTTTGTAATGCCAAAAAAAAACTACCTTTTGTAACGATGTAATGTAGACCCTTATGAGGTCAAACTTTTCCCTCTAAACGTTATGTACTAAAAGTTATCAATGAAATTTGGCATGTGTTTTATTTATTGAATGTTTGGCACTATACATCATAACCTGATCACACAAACAGTTACGAATAATAAAGTTATGATAAAATACAAGAGGGATGAAACCAGTAACACTCGACTCGTTATCACTATTGAAGTCTTACCGACTAGTCATTTTTTTTTATGACAGAACCATGCCACCAAGGAAAAGACCAAGGCCTTCCAGCAACCCAGTGCCGCCTCCACCAGCACCTCCGCAGTTTGATCCTGCAATGTTCCAGGCTGCAGTAACGGCAGCCGTGGCGGCAGCAATGTCGCAAATGGGAACCCATGGTTCCGGCGGTTCTGGATCCGGAGCTACCAATTCCATTCATGGGGACAGCACGGGGCGTACGAGGGAGTGCTCTTACATAGACTTCACGAATGGCAAACCCGATCCTTTCAATGGAAGCGGGGGCGTTATCACACTGGTTCAATGGTTCGAAAGGACCGAGGCAGTTTTTGAAATCTGCGCTTGTCCCGAAGCGAGCAAGGTCAAGTATGCGGCATTCACTTTCACTGGAAAAGCACTTACTTGGTGGAATGGCCGAGTTAAGTCACTTACTCCTGCAGTAGCTAACGCAATCAGCTGGAGGATTTGAAAGCCTAATGTTAAAGGAATACTGCCCGAGGGGCGAAATACAAAAACTTGAAGAAGAACTTTGGAATCTCAGGATGACAGGCACTGATCTTGAAACTTATACTGCCCGTTTCAAGACCTAGCACTCCTCTGTCCAACAATGGTCACTCCAGAAGAGAAGAAGGTGGAACGATATCTCTGGGGCTATCATCCCAGATTCAAGATAGTGTCTTGGCCTCGAAACCCACTACCTTTGAGAGTGCCAAGGAATTGGCACAACAACTCATAGATCACAGGGCTAGCCGTGGTACCGTGATAACCACCACCGACCGAACAAAAGGGGGAACAACAAGAGGAAGTTCTGGGCAATAAAAGGAAACAACCAATTCAGGACCCCGCCAAAAAGCAACGATTGTTGCTGTCGGCCGCCACTACTGCTGTCGCTCCAGCGCCACCGAAACAGTATACAGGAACTCTTCCCAAGTGCAACAAGTGTAACTACCACCATAACGGTGCTTGTCGAGAGTTACACTGCAATAACTGTAACAAAAAGGGGCACACTGCGATTCTGTAGAGCGACTACCCAACCCGCCACACAAGTCGCTACGACCGCCAACACTGGAGCAAGCCAAGCCTGCTATGGATGTGGTGGAAACGGGACACTTCAGGAGGAACTGCCCCAAGGCACGAGCCCCTAATGCTGGGGTGTGTAGGGAGAGTCCTAACTTTAGGGCAGGGAGAAGCAGTCAAGGATCCCTCTGTGGTTACTGGTATG